GTCCTGTATATCTCTTGATATCCAGGGTTCACAGGATTCATTGGTTCCACCCTTTGTCTTTATTGAAACATGTTCACCTGAATAAGTAGGAAAAAAAGTCAGTATTTATAGTTGGTTAATCAATAACCGACTTAGCCTGAGAATTATTACAGAGTAAGGAGGGTAACTTGAAGAATTCTTCTCTCAGGATTTTTGTAACTCACTTAATTTGAAAGGAATTGGATTCCTTCTGAAAATGTAAAGGAATGCAGGCAAAAAACAAAATAATAACATTAGAATGAATAGTTTCAGTGGAAGAAAGAGCACATGACCACAAACTGGCCTTTGTGACTGCCTTCTTTGCTCATAATTTGAATGATTCTCTGAGTAATACGCAAGACAGCAAGCAAGACACCTTCCACCAGCCCAGAATATCCGAGGCCACAACCGGTGCTCAGGACCCCATCGGACGTACACAGTTAACTCATAGAATGGCAGAACATCCACTCCAAATCCCGGGCTTGACCAGAAGCAGCTACTTTTGAAGGAAATATGCGAGATACATAGTCTATATGGTTGAGACTGAAAGATCACAGTTTCATGTACCACCACCCCACTACCCCCACCAGCATACTCCAAGCAAATGTCGAAGGTATTGAAAACAAGTTGGCTGAACTTAAACCTAGACTCACCTACCAAACAGAATTGAGATGGCTGTGTTCTGTTTTACAGAGGTATGGCTCACTCCTGCTTCACCTTGTCTATGCCTTACAACCGGAGAGCTTCTCAGCCCATTGAATGGACCACATGGCATCATCAGGCGAGGCAAAGGGTGGAAGGGTCTGCCTCCTGATCAACCCCTCTTTGTGCTCAGACATGGACGACCGTGGCGTGTTATTGCTCCCCTGACCTACAATATCTAACAGTGAAGTGCCATCTCTGCTACCTGCCATGGGAGTTTACTACTTAAATCCTGACAATAGTTTACATCCCACCCCATGCGGAAGTGAAGAGCGCACTTGATGAAAAATACACCACCACAAATAGCCTTCAGAAGGAATACCCTGAGGCCTTGTTCATCATAGCCCATGACTTATACCAGGTCAACTCAAGAATGTGCTGCCAAAATATCACCAACAAGTTTTCTGTCCCGACAGGGGGCCAAACACCCTGGACCATTTCTACACAACAACCAAAGATGCCTATCACTCCATTTCCACCAGCATTTTAGTAAATCAAACCATAAGGTTGTGCTCCTTCTTATGGTTTGCAAGCAGAAACTGAAACGTGAGGATCAGGTACAGAAACTTGTACAGTGCTAATCTGAGGTAATGGACAAGCTCCTACGTGACTGAATGGAGTTGGTGGACTGGTGCGTATTCAAGAACTCAGCAGCCAACTTAAATGAGTATGCCACTGCCATCACAGACTTCATCAGTAAGTGTCTAGAGGATAGTGTGTCAAAGAAGTTAAAACAAATATTCCCCAACTGGATACCATGGATGAACCATAGGATCCAGTCCCTACTGAAAGCCAGGTCTGAGACGTTCAAGTTGGGTGACCCTGACCTATACAGGAAATCTAGTTACAGTCTTCACAAAGCCGTCGGGGATGCCTAGAGATAATACGAGACTAAACAAGACTCCCAGACTAATCACACAAACACATATTGACTATGGCAAGGCTGATACGATATAAGAGCTACAAATTGTGAAGTCAAATTGCTGACAACAATGCATCCCTCCCTGATGAGCTCAATACATTCTATGTTTGTTTTGAAGAGAAGGTTAGTGAAATAACATCACCTGCCCTGACTGCCTTGTGATCTGGACCCACAGTCACAGGCACAGACATCAAATTGGCTGCCTTGAAGTGAATCCAAGCAAAGTGACTGGCCCGGATGGAGTCCCCGGCCAGGCACTTCGATCCTGCATGGACCGGCTAGCCGAAATATTTACAGAGATAGTAGGAACTGCAGATGCTGGAGAACCTGAGACAACAAG